TTGCCTCCATTGATGCCCTTAGTAACTTGCCACCATTGATGTTCTTAGTAACTTGCCACCATTGACGTCCTTAAAAATTTGCTTTTATTGATGCCCTTAGTAACTTGCCACGATTGATCCCCTTAGTAACTTGCCCAAAATTGATGCCTTAGTAACTTCCTCTATTGATGCCTTAGTAACTTGCCACCATTGATGCCTTAGAAACTTGCCTCTATTGATGCCCTAGTAACTTCCTCTATTGATGCGCATAGTAACTTGCCCTGCATTGATGCGCCCTTAGTAACTGCCTCTATTGATGCCCTTAGTAACTTGCCACCATTAATTGGCTTGCCACCGTTGATGCCTTAGTAACTTAGCCACCATTGATGCCCTTAGAAACGTGCCTCTATTGATGCCCTTAGTATCTTGCCACCATTGATGCCATAGTAACTTGCCCTCATTGATCCCCTTAGTAACTTGCCTCCATTGATGCTTAGTAACGCACCATTGATGCCCTTAGTAAACCATTGATCCCCTTAGTAACTTGCCTCCATTGATCCCTTAGTAACGTGTCACCATTGTTGCCCTTAATGTTGTGTCACCATTGATGCCCTTAGTAACTTGCCACCATTGATGCCCGTTGATGCCCTTAGTAACTTGCCTCTATTGATGCCCTTAGTAACTTGCCACCATTGATGCCGTTAATAACTTGCCTCTATCGATGCTCTTAGTGACTTGCCACCATTAATGCCCTTAGTAACTTGTCACCGTTGATGCCCTTAGTAACTTGACTCCAAAGATGCCCTTAGTAACTTGCCTCCATTGATGCCCTTAGCAACTTGCCTCCATTGATCCCCTTAGCAACTTGCCTCCATTGATCCCCTTAGGAACTTGCCTCCATTGATGCCCTTAGTAACTTCCCTCCATTGATGCCCTTAGTAACTTGCCTCTATTGATGCCCTTAGTAACATGACTCTATTGATGCATTTAGTAACTTGCTACCATTGATGCCCTTCGTAACTTAACTCTATTGATGCTCTTAGTAACTCTTGCCATATGCTCTAGTAACTTGCCACTCATTGATGCCCTTAGTAACTTGGGTTCTATTATTTCTAAAGTAACTTGCCACCATTGATGCCCTTAGGGACTTGCCTCTATTGATGCCCTTAGTAACTTGCCAAAATTGATGCCCTTAGTAACTTCCCTCCATTGATGCCCTTAGTAACTTGCCACCATTGATGTCCTTAGAAACTTGCCTCTATTGATGCCCTTAGTAACTTGCCACCATTGATGCCCTTAGTAACTTGCCACCATTGATGTCCTTAGTAACACACCACCATTGATGTTCTTAGTAACTTGACTCTATTGATGCCCTTAGTAACTTGACTCTATTGATGCCCTTAGTAACTTGACTCTATTGATGCCCTTAGTAACTTGACTCTATTGATGCCCTTAGTAACTTGCCACCATTGATGTCCTTAGTAACTTGCCACCATTGATGTCCTTAGAAACTTGCCTCTATTGATGCCCTTAGTAACTTGCCACCATTGATGCCCTTAGTAACTTGCCACAATTGATTCCCTTAGTAAATTGCCTCCTTTGATGCCCATAGTAACTTGCCACCATTGATGCCCTTAGTAACTTGCCACCATTGATGCCCTTAGTAACTTGCCACCATTGATGTCCTTAGAAACTTGCCTCTATTGATGCCCTTAGTAACTTGCCACCATTGATGCCCTTAGTAACTTGCCACCATTGATGTCCTTAGTAACACACCACCATTGATGTTCTTAGTAACCTGCCACCAATGATCCCCTTAGTAACTTGACTCTATTGATGCCCTTAGTAACTTGACTCTATTGATGCCCTTAGTAACTTGACTCTATTGATGCCCTTAGTAACTTGACTCTATTGATGCCCTTATTAACTTGCCATCATTGATGTCCTTAGTAACTTGCCACCATTGATGTCCTTAGAAACTTGCCTCTATTGATGCCCTTAGTAACTTGCCACCATTGATGCCCTTAGTAACTTGCCACAATTGATTCCCTTAGTAAATTGCCTCCTTTGATGCCCATAGTAACTTGCCACCATTGATGCCCTTAGTAACTTGCCACCATTGATGCCCTTAGTAACTTTGCCACCATTGATGCCCTTAGTAATCTCTGCTTTTCACCATTGATGCCCTTAGTAACTTGCCACCATTGATGCCCTTAGGGACTTGCCTCTATTGATGCCCTTAGGGACTTGCCTCTATTGATGCCCTTAGGGACTTGCCTCTATTGATGCCCTTAGTAACTTGCCAAAATTGATGCCCTTAGTAACTTCCCTCTATTGATGCGCTTAGTAACTTGCCTCCATTGAAGCCTTTAGTAACTTGCCTCCATTGATGCCCTTAGTAACATGACTCTATTGAGGCATTTAGTAACTTGCTACCATTGATGCCCTTAGTAACTTAACTCTATTGATGCTCTTAGTAACTTGCCACCATTGATGCCCTTAGTAACTTGCCTCTATTGATGCCCTTAGTAACTTGCCACCATTGATGCCCTTAGTAACTTGCCTCTATTGATGCCCTTAGTAACTTGCCACCATTGATGCCCTTAGTAACTTGCCACCATTGATGCCCTTAGTAACTTGCCTCCATTGATGCCCTTAGTAACTTGCCACCATTGATGCCCTTAGTAACTTGCCACCATTGATGCCCTTAGTAACTTGCTTCTATTGATCACCTTGGTATCTTGCCACCATTGATGCCCTTAGTAACTTGCTTCCATTGATGCCCTTAGTAACTTGCTTCTATTGATGCCCTTAGTAACTTGCCACCATTGATGCCCTTAGTAACTTGCCACCATTGATACTCTTGGTAACTTTCCTCTATTGATGCCCTTAATAACTTTCCTCCATTGATACTCTTGGTAACTTTCCTCTATTGATGCCTTAGTAATTTGCCACCATTGATGCCCTTAGTATCTTGCCACCATTGATGCCCTTAGTAACTTCCCTCCATTGATGCCCTTAGTAACTTCCCTCCATTGATGTCTTTAGGAACTTCCATTTTTTGACTAGTTACTTTCCTCCTCTGTTTCACTAAGTAACTTCCCTTTTTTGACTAGTTACTTTCCTCCTCTGTTTCACTAAGTAACTTCCCTTTTTTGACTAGTAACTTTCCTCCTCTCTTTCACTAAGTAACTTCCCTTTTTTGACTAGTTACTTTCCTCCTCTGTTTCACTCAGTAACTTCCCTTTTTTGACTAGTTACTTTCCTCCTCTGTTTCACTAAGTAACTTCCCTTTTTTGACTAGTTACTTTCCTCCTCTGTTTCACTAAGTAACATCCCTTTTTTGACAAGTTACTTTCCTCCTCTGTTTCACTAAGTAACTTCCCTTTTTTGACTAGTTACTTTCCTCCTCTGTTTCACTAAGTAACTTCCCTTTTTTGACTAGTTACTTTCCTCCTCTGTTTCACTCAGTATCTTCCCTTTTTTGACTAGTTACTTTCCTCCTATGTTTCACTAAGTAACTTCCCTTTTTTGACTATTTACTTTCCTCGTCTGTTTCACTAAGTAACTTCCCTTTTTTGACTAGTTACTTTCCTCCTCTGTTTCACTAAGTAACTTCCCTTTTTTGACTAGTTACTTTCCTCGTCTGTTTCACTCAGTAACTTCCCTTTTTTGACTAGTTACTTTCCTCCTCTGTTTCACTAAGTAACTTCCCTTTTTTGACTATTACTTTCCTCCTCTGTTTCACTAAGTAACTTCCCTTTTTTGACTAATTACTTTCCTCCTCTGTTTCACTAAGTAACTTCCTTTTTTGACTAGTTACTTTCCTCCTCTGTTTCACTCAGTATCTTCCCTTTTTTGACTAGTTACTTTCCTCCTATGTTTCACTAAGTAACTTCCCTTTTTTGACTATTTACTTTCCTCGTCTGTTTCACTAAGTAACTTCCCTTTTTTGACTATTTACTTTCCTCCTCTGTTTCACTAAGTAACTTCCCTTTTTTGACTAATTACTTTCCTCGTCTGTTTCACTCAGTAACTTCCCTTTTTTGACTAGTTACTTTCCTCCTATGTTTCACTAAGTAACTTCCCTTTTTTGACTAGTTACTTTCCTCCCCTGTTTCACTAAGTAACTTCCCTTTTTTGACTAGTTACTTTCCTCCTCTGTTTCACTCAGTAACTTCCCTTTTTTGACTAGTTACTTTCCTCCCCTGTTTCACTAAGTAACTTCCCTTTTTTGACTAGTTACTTTCCTCCTCTGTTTCACTCAGTAACTTCCCTTTTTTGACTAGTTACTTTCCTCGTCTGTTTCACCGAGTAACATCCCTTTTTTACTAAGTTACTTTCCTCCTTTGTCTCACTGAGTACTTCCATCTATTGTTCCCTTTAACGTTTTCCTTGGTGTTAATAATACGTTTTAATTTTTATTTTATTTTTATTTTTTTAAATGTTTACAGGAACTGGCTGTCCTCTTCTCTCCGTCTGGCTGCCTCTGGTCCTGGCTGCCTCTGCTCCTGGCTGCCTCTGGTCCTGGTTGCCTCTGCTCCTGGCTGCCTCTGCTCTCTACCTCGCTCACTCTACCAAAGACAAGGAGAGATTAGTAAAGCGAAGTGAAGTATTATCCCCCCCCCCCCTCTCTACCACCACCTTTCCCCACTACGACTACTTCTACGGCTACTCCTACGACTACTCCTATCTACCCACTTCCCCCCTCCCATCCCCCCCTCCGCCGCCGCCACACCACTGCAATAAAAACAGAAGAGTAATGTGATTAGTATTCCCCGCCTCTCCCTCGCCGCCACCATAGCTCCTGTAATAGACGAGAAAAGTGTTATTTTACGTCGTCACTGCTGCCACCACAACTCCTGTAAAAGACAAATATAGTGTTAATATTACTTCTATTATTATTATCATATACTGTACTTCCCTCACTGCTCCTGCCATCACCATCTTCACCACTGCTTCTGCCATCACCATCACCACCACTGCTCCTGCCATCACCACCACTGCTCATGCCATCACCATCTTCACCACTGCTCCTGCCATCATCTCCACCACTGTTCCTGCCATCACCACCACTGCTCTTTACGTCTCCGACAAATTTCTGTAAATACAAGAAAAAATATGAGACAATAATAACTTGTAAAGCTAAACAATAAAAATGATGACTTACTCGAAACATTTAATTTCCCCAAGATTAAAAATAACGAGTGTGAGGTGCAGATAATGTTGCCTTATAATAGTACTTGAACTAACATGACCAAGGAACTTAGACTCCCATAATGTAAAGAGAAGAGTTATGATGATATTACTGGAGGTGAACCAACAGCAGCTGTCCTACTGGTGTAAACAAAAAAAACCCTGAAAGTGGATCTCATAGGCCTGACATCCCATTAGGGAATGTTAATACTATAATGAGCCTTCAATACACAAGGGAACAGTCTAGGTGAACAAGTGAAGTCCTGGGTGCCAATAATCGACCTTAAGGACATAAGGGAGGAAAAAAGTGCTATATCTATCTGGTTGTTGCATCCTTAAACAATAATAATGTTTTTCTATTAATAATGAAGCTACCACACCTTGCCCTATCGTCCTTCATGACTCTACCTTCCATCATAAGTTCTCCAGGAGCTGCAACTCATGACTCTCCTCTGCTTGAGACACCTGTGTATACTGTACATCCCCCCCCCCCTCCTCACAACAGTCCTCCTCACTCTGAGATGCACCACCAGTTTGGACACTCACTGTAAGATGAAAATAATTATATACAATGATGTGATATTTAAAACAAACACAAAAGATTTTTTATCAACAAATATGAGCTAAATTAGGATGAGGTGAAGATTAGGCACCTCAGATTAAACTCCCCCAAACAAGCTAACCTAACCACTCAGTACAGACTGGCCTATCAAATTCGTTTCTCAGAAGTCCGCGCATTTTAATTGGCGAGGTCAACCTGTACAAACAGGGAGCATCATGTATAATACGCTATTAACAAGTTTCTTCAATTCAGCAGTTAATTTATCCCTTTGTATTTGTTACTAGCAAACAGGGTTCGGATATGCCTGAACGATTGTATGTTCGTTTGTGTGTCAGCTGGCTTCGGGAACTGTCTATGTCGTCTGATTGGTGCGAGTTTATTGCAGAAGTCGAGGACAAGCTGGAGTTCAGACGTCTTTGCTTATTACCAAAGTGATCAATTGGACCAATCACCTATCTTTGTGGCCTGCTCTGAGGACCAATTAACGCTCGACTCTCGTCTCCTCGCCCCGCCCATCCCCTCCTTGCTGTATATAAGCCCTGTGAGACGTTCTCTGGTTCGGCCGAAATAGCCTAATGGCGAAGAGGCCAGTAATCCCCAACATCAGTCAGTTCTCTGGTTGAGCCCAGATTCTTTCTACTCCTACTGTATTTCAGTTTCACCACTTTTCCTTCAACCCCTAATAATTTTCTTTCACCTCTTAACTAAAGACTTCGTATCGTATCGTGTCGACATCCCCGGCCGAAGTCAAGGTAGGTATCTCCCTACCTTGGGCCGAAGTGGCCAGTAATCCCCACAAGTTCTGTCAACTGCACTTGCTACTTAATACTCATCGTACTTAAGATCGCGTGTGGGGGCTCCCTTCCCTTTGGTGGGCTCCTGTATTATTCACTGTGTCAGACTTGTGTATTAAGATAAGTTTATTTAACATAGAATGCGTCAGCTTCGTTTGTAGTAACTTCGAGCAGTTAATCTATCAGTGAATTTACATTTATTTTATGTAAGTGAATTAAAATCTGTGTTATTTTGTGTACACTATTTGCGTCCGCTTGTTTTGATGTTATAATTAATGGGCAGACACACTTATCTGGATGTGATTTTGTTTCAGTTAATACTTTTATGTTTAATTTTAAGTAAGAGGGTTTGTTCGTCCTCTCTTGGTGAATGTGAGTGAACGTAGTCAGAATGGTGTAACATGGGCGTAACAATATAAATACCACTACAGTTTACTCACATCTCACGCCTACAGCTGCTCCACGGGAGATCACATTAACCATCTCACTCCTTCACTTTATCCTCTTCGCCACTTGTCAGCTCACTATTCGGTCAAGCAGTTGGTCATTTCTCTGGTGTATGTACAGGCTTTTGATTGAACATGTACCAGTGTTGGTCTCGTCTTAAGAGTTCACATCTGGTGCCGTCACAACAGTCACTGGCAGGTCATTACAAAGCCATCAAGGAGGAGTCCATCAAACACCAACTTCCTATAATAGATCTGAAAATAAAACAATTGTACAGACCTCAGTGTATACCTCAATAGACATTCTCTGGCCACGTAGGAAAATTTCCCCTTCTACTGTGCATCACTTTCCTTGATGTAATCTTACTGCTGTTTTATAAAGAAAAAAATCCCTTTACATTTATACTACAAGTGTAACATTAATTCCCTACACTGCTTCAATTGTTTACTGTCAAATAATTCACCTCATTCAAAATAATGTTAGCTTTCCCCTGTACACGCTTAAACGTTACATAGTAATCCTGCAACATGATGTCCCATCTAAGCTACCCCTGGAAGAAGTTGGTCGTCTTATGGTCTGTGAGGACAGTTAGTGCTGGTGGTGACCCCGAGTGAATGATAAATACTATCTGGGCGCCACAACAGCCAAGGTCATGTGGCGCCGGAGATAATTAATGGTTAAAAAGTTAAACTAAGATTAAAATGACGGAAAATAAATTGAAACTGTAAATAAAACGACCAAAAAGGAAACTGGATAAATAATCCTTTAGGAGGCCAGACTCCTTCACAACACTAGAGGGCGTGACTCCTACCCAGCACCGCGCTGCTCCCTGACTGAGGGTGATTAATGATTGCGCACTTTACAGTTTAGGAACAACATGGAAAGCTCTAGTGATTTTCCAAAATTTCCTTTATGTAAATTTATTGTCCTGATCTGAGTAAACACTTTCGGCAAACCCACCGAACAGAAAAATCAATCCTCTCCCTTACATCATCATTGTGTTGATACTCCTCAGAGGAACAGCTTCAGGGAACTAGTTGCTGCACAGATAATAGTCACCAGACAATAGTGCCCCACCATGGTATAGAGGTCCACCATCACAGTTTATCAAGACTCTACTGAAAGGTTCATCAAATGCAAGGATGGGTTTAACCCCTTCACTACAGGGAAGCCACTTATTTTATTTGGCTTATGCCAGACAGCTTTGTTCAGCTCAGAGGAGAGCCTGTACTCTCTGGCAGACATCACAGATCTTACTGAGTAACGATATTTTTAATTCCTGACCAGTGAAAATGGTCCCATGTCCTGGTCAGTGTTTTCCTAGTTCCCAGGTGACCAGACATACAGTACATGACTCCTGCATCAAGAACACCACTCTCCCTCAGTGGTGGATGGGAACTATCACCTGTACTTTATTTTCCTTCGATCATCAACTAGAGCTTCTGAGGGTCTCCACTTTCTCATTAAGACACTTTTATCAACACAATACCCAGCCTGTGACACAGCTTCTCCTGTATAGTGAAGGTAACACAGGGCAGCTGTACACCTGCAGGACCCACACAGGGGGGATCACTGTGTGTTTGGTAAAGAGGACACAGCTGGGTGTCAGTCATACTCATCATAAAATAATACAAACTAAATCTCACCTGCTACGTAAAACTTGGTCGTTGGCGCGTCAAAATATTTGGAAGGGATTGTGTTGAGCCACACTACTGTTCTGTTTCTCTCGCTAGTTTATTGGCCGTACTGCACACATTCAGTCAACAATCATCTGTGAGAAACATATACCTGAGGTACTGCTAAAAACAACACACTTTTATTTTAATGCGTGCCCTACAAGCCTTGTCCCCCAGTGTGACCTGACGGGAAGTAACATGGACTCTAGTGGGACTCTTCCTGCCATCCTCTTCGTGTGGTACAAGTGCCATGCTAAGTGCTTCTGCTCATGTACTTATTTTATTATTGTGTACAAAGGCTAAAATACATAAAGGGCCCCCCACCTCCATCCTCCACTTGAGCTGGGATGAAAAGTGTCTAAACCAATACAATAACCTGATACAATATAATGACTCATTATTATTGTCCGCACGACACCCACGCTCATAGAGGCAATAGGGCGGACACTGCTGAGAGGAAGGTGGTACACACTCACATGACGCTATGGTACACGTATTGCGTAATAAATATCAAGCTGGTCATGATTTCTTCAATATATTGCGTTATTCTTCACTATTTACCCTAACCGCTCAACAATACTTGGCGGTACAGCCTCGGCCCGGACCTAGTGTGACTCACTACCAACCATCACACATTCCCCGCACTCCGGTCTTCTTCTGCATGAACACTGAACAGACCAACCGTCCCAATGACGAGTAAGCTGATAACTTGTTAAAACGATAAAATTAAAAACCTCGGCGTTGTGGAGGGAGGTATAAAAATACCATAGACTTTTATTAAGTCGAGGCGGAGCTTACACAACTGAAAGACTGCATCAGCCCTGTCGTATGTCCGTCTAATGGAGAAAATAATATCACGGCGATGACTCAGGAACTTTAACAATCTTATGACCACCCAGACTTGTATATCGACGATCTTCCTTATATTCTCTTAAGGTTCCACTTTATGTACGCATATAACGGTATAATTGTCTCTAAACTACTTGTTGGGTATTCACAAACTACGCTGACAGCAGTTGATCAACACTCTAACATCACATGTAATAACGCGAGTAATTTAATAAACAATTACTTGAATAACATATAAAGCGAAATTAACTAGAGTTAACACGATTAAACAAGTAAAAAATAGATATATAATGATACTTACAATTTGTATTCATCACAGAGCAGTATTCACAGACCCTTCCACCACGACGGCACTCGTACTAATGGTTCGCTGACGCTCGCCGGGCTAAAACTACACCGAATGTTAATAAATAGCCACGACCATATCTGGTGAATTTTCTTTTCTCAACAGCAGATGGCCTCAAATTTTCCTAAATTAATCTAACTTAATGATAAAAATGTAATTTGTATAATGTTTTAGTATATAGTTGGTTTATTTAAGTCATTTAACAAATAAAAGAAGTTTCCACATTTGTTCGTGGTATTTTTTTAACATTATAAATACAACAGAAAATGAGAATACGAGGGGTGACTCCTCCAAACTTGCAACTGATGATGAAATGACAACAACGGAAAATTGGGGATATTTTAAACCTGTAGCTTTTGATAAATAAGTTACCATACTTATTGTCAGACATGGATAATAATGGACGTTCTTAAAGGCTGAAGGTATACAAAAGCTAGTCGCACTAAGGGTGAAATGTAAGAAACTATTAGAGTACAAATTGGCCCGGGGAATGTAAATAGTAAGATATATAAGTTAGCCGTTAAATTAATTTTCTATGATAATGACAGAAAATGAAACTGCAGAAGATTTCTTTTGGATAACTCTACTAATTTTCTCACCATGTATTTTGTTTATTAAAATGTTCTTTATAATTTTTTCAAGTTATCAACTGACTAGCTGTTCGGATGGTACGTCTAGCCAGTGTTAATACAAAAGGAAACTGCAGTATGTGGAGGAAACCCGTGATGTTAGGTAGTGAGGGTCACACTGGATATCACCCTTCTCACCAACTTGTGCCCATTTTGTCATTGTTAATCCTTTATTACATCTTAGTTTGGCTAATGTCTGCCCACAACTTTCTTGAAGATATAATATTTGGAGATTTAACTGGTTGTCAAAGTACAATACAGTACTATACTGTTCCATCTGCTGACGTTTAGTGATGTTTTGACTCATCTTAGTTTGCTTAACTGTACCAACACATTAAAAATGTGACCTCTGGCATTTTCATTGTTTAGTCACATTTCTTGCATCAACTTCAGTTCCTCAGTCAAAGAACTATATATTTCTGGGCACATTGTTGATAAACTTTTGAGGTTTTTAAGTGGTTTTCAATTATCAAGTTCACCAGCCCAGTACTTGTTAACTATAGTTGAACATTTTCAAATACCTGTACACAGAGGTGTAAACTTGTGTGATGCCATACTCTTTAATATGGTGTTAGACAGCCACCTCATGTTATCCTCTCTATATAATGCTCACTGCATCAGACCCATCCAGTGACCTTGTTGACATTATGAGGTGCTGTCTTTGTTCATCTCCAGTCAGTCATACGTTTTTACACTTTAAAATTTGAAGCAAAAGTTATGAATATTGTGGTTAATAAGAGGTTCATGAATTGCTTGTTTTATTTTGTAGCTTCTTAAGACAGTCTTACAAAATAAGCATATATAATGAAAACATCATTCACAGAATACATTTATTGTAACATGACCTATATATAAATAGGAAATCTACTGAAACACAAAAAAGTCAATATATGGTCATAAAAAAAAGCCAATATACAGTGTATGGTCATCAAAAAAGTCAGTAAATGGTCAACAAAAAAATTTCAATATATGGTCATAAAAAAAAGTTAATATACAGTGTATGGTCATCAAAAAAATCAATAAATGGTCAACATAAAAGGTCAATATACAGTCATCAAAAAAGTCAATATATGGTCAACAAAAAAGGTCAATATATGGTCATCAAATAAAACATCTGATTCAACAGATATGTCATCCGTTTAAAAGACAAGTCTGTCTTAATTACTTACATTTTGATAATTAAAAATACAACCTCATACCATAATGGTAATTAACAAGATTTTTCTCTCAAGAGATATTGAACAAAGATTACATCCTAAAATCAAATCTATAATGACAGAGTAAAATTTTAGAGGCAAACTTTATAAGACAGGCTACTCCAGACTCACTCACTATCAGCTTCTGATCCTGATTTTGCTGGTGATCGTGAGCCAGATCTATATTGAGGGGATCCAGACCTAGATCTGGGAGATCCAGACCTAGATCTGGGAGATCCAGACCTAGATCTAGGTGAGCCCGATCTTGATTTTGACCTTGAATGTGACCTTGACCTAGATCTTGACCTGGACTTGGATCTTGACCTGGACTTGGATCTTGACCTGGACTTGGATCTTGACCTGGACTTGGATCTTGACCTGGACTTGGATCTTGACCTGGACTTGGATCTTGACCTGGACTTGGATCTTGACCTGGACTTGGATCTTGACCTGGACTTGGATCTTGACCTGGACTTGGATCTTGACCTGGACTTGGATCTTGACCTGGACTTGGATCTTGACCTGGACTTGATCTTGACCTCGACCTTGATCCAGATCGTGACCTTGCTGGTGAGCGGCTTGCAGAACGTGAGCCACTGCGTGACCTAGATCGTGATGCCGAGCCACTCTTCCTGGAGCCACTACGACTTCGGGACCTTGATCCAGAACCCGAACGACTGCCAGACCTGGAACCAGAACCCGAGCGTGACCTTGAGCGAGACCTCGAACCCGAACGCGATCTTGAACGTGATTTAGAACGCGATCTAGAACGTGATCTGGACCGTGAACGATCAGAACCAGATTCAGACATAACCCGACGTCGTTTGGTTTGTGTTCCTCCTCTGTCGCTATCGGAGCCACTAGCAATCTTGAGACGCTCATCATCAGAGTCGTCAGATGAATCAGAAATGGTTGCTTTAGAGACAATACGTCCTTTCTGCCTGGCAGAAAGTCCATTTGAAGCCGACTTCTTACCCTTCTGGCTGCCTCCTGCTCTGCCTCGTTTGCGGCCTCGGGCTCGATCGTCATTGTCGTCGTCACTTCCGGTACCTTTCCCCCTCCTAGATCTCTTCGTTCTGTAAATAAGAAAATTACCATTTTGGTTGGCCATTTCAATTTACATTTTGAGGATGCAAACTAATGAAACCTGAGGACACAACGTATGGAAAAAGCCTGAAAATGGCCCCTTTACAGAGTCCAGGAGCTGGAAAAACCCTTAGAACTACTTGTAAAAAGGTTTTGACAAAATAAGTTAATCAACTTTATCTATTTGAGTGAATATGTAGTTACTGAATAAGATTGATTGTTAAAAATATATACATTAGTTCAAATATTGGCCAATGTAAAGTATGCATATGAGTGTATATATAGTACATTAAAACAATTTTATTGTAATGTTGTAAGCATCAGAATGTAAGTGTAAACCTGGTAAAATATTTAACCGAACCATTCATATTCAATAAATACTGTAATCATTACTATATCCAGTTCAATTCTACAGATCTACAAAAAGTATTTCTGAAAACAAGACTTGACATTATATAAATTTCAAAACTATCCGACTAGTTTTCCCAGTACTGTACTTGAACTTAAGTTTACTTGTATCTTTTGTAAATTCATGTATTCATTACTAACTGGCAGGATCTCTCCTCCCACTTCCATTAAAAAAATTTACATTGATGCAAAATTATATTTTTGATAAAGACAGCAATCCAGATATTATTATTAGCTCAAGAGGAAGTTTAAAATACAGACTGATGGAATGAACATAACTTCAAGAGATACTCTGTAAGCACACACAGCTTGCTACCCCAAAATATTTTTGTCATATTACACAGTACAATACTGTATTATAAATTCCTAGAACAGTATTCACGCATGTGTGTGTTGGTTAAGTGCAAGTTAACAGAAGTAATGGGTAATATAGACAGCTTATGTGGAGGCTATGCATGACCAATCCTCCTTTTGTACTGTATAAACATAAATTATTAAACAAAATACATAAAGGCTCCACAACCTTGAATAGTTAAGTCACAGATATCCTTTCTGAAGAACTTGTGAAATCAAATTAATATTCTAGAACTAACATGTACTGTCCTACCAGTACAGTACTCCACTTACCCAGTTTCCTTCTTCCTGCGGCCCTTCCCCTTCTTCCTCCTTGGTTCACCTCCCTCTCCTCCACTCCCTCCTCCAGAACCATCTGACAAAATATCAATATCCCGTTTGCGACCGCGTCCACCTCTCTTCGTGTTTTCGGCAGGTTCCGAGATAATAACAGCATTCTTCATCTTCTCCTTGTACTCCTCGCGTGCTTTCATCTGCAGTCATAGTGTGTATATCAGAAACATTATGGCGAGCATGAGTTATGACAATTCTGAAATGTATTTTCAACAACAAAGTTTTCCATTATAAAAATTCTTTACACTTTGCATTAAAAACGAAGTTGTTGTGTAACAAATAATAAATAAAATATTTTTTTACAAACAAATCTCTATATTAACCTCTTGTGAGTCTATACATTAACTTACCCTATCTTCTATGATTTGCCGCCTCATGTCCTCCATCTTCTGTCTCTCTTCCACAACCTTCTGTTTCAGTGCCTGCCTCTCTTCATCTTGCTTGCGTCTCAGGGCCTTTTCTTCGTCATCCTGTCTGCGTGCTCGAGATACGTGGTACTGTGCCTGAGACAGAAGATCACGGCACTGACTTGCCTCTGCTGCTGCAGCTCCCAAGTCATACTTCAAACGATCTCCATTGACACTCAAGTGCTGGAAGTATCTGAAAAAGATAGAAATAAATACCATAAGAGGTTAGCTCATGCAGACTACCTCACATAGCCATACAAGCCTCCATGCTTAACACCTCTCATTGTTATACAGTAGAACCTCTATACATTGGACTTCAATACAACTGAATTCACATTTTTTGGACTCTCTAAGGTACTCTGGACTGCTCTTCTATGCATCAGAAATATTTAAAGAACTTTGGAAAATTCAGCATCAGTCCAGACGGTTTATGTGCGGTTGAATGTCTGTGTTTGGGTGTTGTGCAGCACATATCTCAGTCTGCGTCTTGCCTTCATATGCATCATACAGTGGGGTATGCTATAACGAACGGATCCTACTACGAATATTCCTATAACGAACGGTTTTACCTATAAAATTGAGAATGCTATAACGAACGAAACTCCTACAACGAACATTATTTAAAAAAATTATTGTTTTTTTATTACAAATATTAATGATATTCTTTATTTCAGGGGTTTAGATGCATATTTATGCACTTTTTTACAATTTTTACAATTTTATATTACATTTTTCAGTGTTAAGTGGTTGTATTTGGGGGCCTGGAACGGATTAATCCTATAACGAACAAGGTTCTAGAACCAATTAGATTCGTTATAGCATACCCCACTGTATCAGTGTGCCGCACCTTGCTGCCTACATTCATTTATGTAAACTTTTTACGTTGAGTATTTATTAGCTTTAATGGGGATAATTAAAAGGTTCTAAAAATGAGTAAAAAAAAAAAAAGAAAAAATTATGAATACAACACTTGCTTACTGAATAATGTACATTAATCTAATCAGATTTACTGAAGGCCTAATGAGAGCTACTAAGTATGAGAGGTACGATACTGCATGTGTAAACAAGCTGGGGGTAGAGGGTGGGGGGGACTGGGTGTTGCTACATTCACCAGGTTTATTTATTGATCCAGTATTATATTCTTGCATGATCAGCCTCTAATGGTGTGGGATTCATCATGATTAATATAACATCTTCAATAATAGAATAAAATACAATATATACTTTATAATTTGACTTGAAAATAAAAGGATAAGCTGTATCGGAAGGTATTCACTCAGGATGCATTCATGTGAGACCTTTCAGCAACTTAGTTTACAACGGGGTCACTATAACACTGTACAGTATATGATGTGGAGATACCTTCCTAACAATGGTACTTACTACCTTTGAGTGATTCTTGATGGCTCAATTTGGCTACTTGTGCACTTAAAACAACTTACTAATGAATAAACCACAAAATATGGAGAAGCTAAATACAGTACACTACAGTATTATTATAAGTGCTGACAAATATGCTACAATATTATGATAAAAGTGCTCATAAATACACTACAGTATTATTTGATAGGTAGTAGGTATTAGGCAGCTACCAAACAGGGAGGTACTACCGCCTGGGAAGATATTGGAAGCATAATGTGTTGTCTAATGGTAGACCCTGCTGCCATATGGCATCACGAAAATTGTGACCAAGTCCCAGGTTGCTGATCTGACTTTCTGCCTCATTTACACACAATTGCAGGGTCTCAATTGTTTCTCTTACTATTGACAACACAACATACATATATTGTTCCTCACTTTTGATTATTATTATTATTTCGCCCCCCAGGCCCCGATGTGGGTCAGTGATCTGTGCCTGGGTGGGCTAATTCCCGTAAAAAAGAAAAGAAAATTTATTAAGTGCTGAAGACATGCTGTGGTGAGCATGAGAGTGAGGGAAAGAACTAGGACAATCAACTGTTAGCACTTTGTAAGCAACTGACCGGGAATTTAATACCAGAGAATAACTTACTTTATGTTGCCTCACACAGCTAAACACCATTCAGTACTCCAATTTTTTCAAACACAAAGTTAAACAGTGTCTTCCAATATAAACATCTTGGCTTGATCAATATTCAATTAAAATCTGCCCATATCCCGTGAATTTATAACATGCTGTAGTATGGTGACCGTGCATTAATAAAGTATATTTCATTACACTCTTTTCAATTTTGCAAACCTTTTCTCACTCTAATGTAGAGTCCCCTTAAGTTTAATCATTCATTCTAACTACTGTATTAATTGTGTTTTGTTTTGTTGTTCTTCTTCTATAACAAGGCCAAAAGGTATCTATCTGGATTATTGCTGTCACTTCACACAACCCAACATTATCCATTAGCAGTACTTGAATGCATATGAATCAGAGTTTTTAAAGCAAACACTCAATGTGACATCAGTGGCATAAACTCACTTCTGAGCCAGAGTCAGCTCATGTACAGCTGCCAACACTGTCTTCAGGACGGACTTTTCATCCCTAAGTACTTGCATAGCCAGACGCTGTAGCACCAACGCCAGGTTGTAGAGGATCACGGTGTCATGTGGAGCAACATGACGAGCCTGAGAAGGAAGTGTGATGAATATATGACTCTCCAACATTATCAAAATCTTACTCTTAGATTCCTCATATATGGGTTAGTTCATGCAAAACTTTCAAATAGAATTTATATTCAGGAACTAAACTGAGCCAAAATAAATGTTATATATATTGCAAACACTGTTTTTACAGGTTGGCTGTTTAGTTTAGCTTGTTACAGTATTCCTTTCCTGTTACCTTTTCTCTACTTCTTCAGCTTTCATTTGCGGTTTTGTTGATTCTCTTACCTTTGTAAGTACATCACACTGACATTTTAAACTTCTTAAATATAACAACAAATACAAAATAGTTATTTGTAAAAAAAAAAATACAATGTGACTACTGTAATAACATCACTAATTCCGAGAGGTGAAGTGAAAAATAACATAACAAAGAAAGTCTCTCTAAAGACTGAGTCAGCAATGCATGTGAAGAATGAACATAAACTACAGGATAAGGGCGCACAATAATAGCTTCCTCTTCAACAAACTTGCCTTGAGTAGTGTGTATTTAGCTTCCTTGAGCTTGGAAGCCTTGAAGTATGCCCGAGCCAAATACCCGAGAACTTCTACATTTGGGAACTTGAAGAATTTTTTCTGACAATTTTCGTACTGAAAAGAAGAATTTTTTTTAATGTTATTAGACACAGTAATCAAGTTTCCATGGTTGCTTGGTGATCAGGTAAGTAGAACACATGTCACAAGCTAGTAAGGAGGAACAAGTGGAGATGATGTACAGACTGCTTAAAGAGTCTCACATAAGTAAGGTGAACTAAGAGAGGAATTAAGGGAATTTAGTATACAGTAAAATACGTAGGGGGAGGAGGGTAGGAGGGTATCACAGCAATACACTTTCAAATATCTTAAAAAATTCTACATAATGTACTGTATTAATAGAATGAAAAAAATTATAAAATGCAAAAAACAAACAAAACTACTAAAACAGCTATGGGTTCATCTTAGACAATACTGTACTATTAATAGATTATAAGCTCTGCCAAACAATGGTAGCGAGCAATGGTGAAATCACAATACAAAAGGGATATGTTCCATAGAAATTGTGTGTAGAGCAAAAATTGCAGTGAAGAAAAAAATTTTCCACTAACAAAATGTCATACAGAAGGTCTTTGAGTTACCAACAACTGTACTTATGTGACCCATTATACAATATTCATAATAAAAATCTAGCCCCAGGGAAAGAGCCACAACCATCCCCAACACTATTCTCGACCTATTCTACTGTGTAAGTTATCCACTAGTCCTCCTAACACCATATCCATTCCTATGAACAAGCCACCTTCAGAGACCGAGTAATTAAAGCATTTTTTTTTACATTATTTGCATTTTGAATTATTTATGGGCTATAATTGTTTAGGCTCAACAGGAAAGGATGGGTTTTATTCATATTTTATTGCAAACATCACAGGGCTCTGAATTATAACAAAATTAATTCATGAACAGGACCCAGGAAAGTAACCTGTCTGTAACTCAAGCACCCCTGTACTGTACTGTATGTTAAAATGTGTATATTAAGGATTTCCTGTAATAAAAAATACAGTTTTTCACCACTATTTATATTTATTTTCCCTTTTTGTGACCACCTTATCCCCCAGTGGCTCAATTCAACCTCTTACCATCTGAATAGCGTTAATATACTGTTTCTGTTCTACATAGATGTGGGCAATGTTCATCCACACGTCACTGAAATCTGCTGTTGCCTCTCTTACTTGAGCAAAAATGTCTCTTGCTTCATTTATGTATCCCTTGTGAGCCAACACAGCACCTGAAAACAAAAATGATTTTAAACAATTACATATGAATGTGTCAAAGCCTCTGACTGTGTACCCAACTTTAGCTTATTGAATTGACATATTGTTCCCCTTGGATGCCAGAGATATTTCACACAAAAGAATCAGACTTTCTTCACCTCTATGTACATTTTATCATCCTCAATATGATAAAAAGAATATTTCTTATGGTTTAAACCAGGCATGGGCAACCCACGGCCCGAACCATGTGTTTGTGCGGCCCGTAGAAGCTTTATTTAATGCGGCCCGCAGTTCAGGTAGATGCAACTAGTTTATGGTGAGTAAAGCAATATTTATTTAAAAGATAATCTTCACACACAATTTGTTACCGATTCATCACCTATGAGTAAGTAACTAAGGAAATGTAACAGTGAAATAAGTACAGTATATATAGTCAACAATAATAAACACTTTTACTTGTGAGAGTTTACGGGCTAGGTTCGGCGCGGTCTGTTTGAAGGATTAACTGCTATATGGCAGTGGGTCACTTGGGTATTAAGAAAGGTTGGGTCACATGCATTGGTCACACAGGGATCAACTAATAAAGTACTTCCAGAATAACACAAAAACACCTAAATCTTGGAAACCCTTAGTTGGCAGGAAATTAAAATATTCCAAGCATCATTACAGCCACTAATTACCCCGCAATCGAATCACGGACCATAAATTCGGAATCAGAATATCTGTGCAGGTGGGCGTTGACATGCTCCAAAATTTTACGTGTGACTAGTGACAGCCCTCATATACCAAAATTTATCTTCCATGGTCTCATATTGATTCCCACAAAGGATGTACCGGGTACAGATAGTTGTCATAGTTACTGTATATATAATGGCAATGTTAATCTAGGAATATGAGGAACCACAATGGAACAACCTATAGATACATCTCTCTCTCTCTCTCTATACTCGTGTGTGTATATATATATATATATATATATATATATATATATATATATATATATATATATATATATATATATATATATATATATATATATATATATATATATATATATATATATATATATATATTATATAAAGAGAGAGAGAGAGAGAGATCTGCCTATAGGCTGTTTCATTGTGGTTCCTCATATTCCTAGATTAACATTGGCATTATTCTGGTGGGTGTGTCTCGTAAGTAAGACAAATGTTGTAATTGTTGGAAAAATCAAAGTATTCACAGACTGTTTCATTCATCTTCCGTCAAATGCCAAGAAACATTAATATATTATGTAAAAAATTATTATGATGGATTTGTTTCATAAATAGGGAAAGACTGTGAATGTAAACTGAAAATATGTTAAGGTGGACGTGAGGATAAACTGCTTCACTGTCCGTGCTAATACAATATTAACATTACTTTTGGGTGAGGTAGGATATAAATTTTGGTGGGTTGGACCGCAGAAAAATACCTAAATCATAATGTGGCCCATGACTGAGTAAAGGTTGCCTATGCCTGGTTTGGACAGTTACCTTGCCTAAAAGAATCTTTCTTTACATGAGTATTAACAGTTATAAAATTATGTTTCTATTTATTTGACTCTTACCAATGCCATTTGCTGCCCATATACTCCTTGGATCAGTTCGGAGGACACTTTTGTACATGGCAAGGGCTCGGTCTTGATGCTTGCTTTCCTTCTCCTTGTCTCGGTTTGGCTGGTGGAGTGTTGTCAACCACACGTTCCCGAGGGCAATCAGGGAATACGAATCGTTCGTGGTGCTGGGATTCTGGCATAAAAGAATACTATGTTACACAAGTTACTGGAAAGAGATACATAGTTAAGTCTTACACAATACTAAAAATCTACAACTCTTGTGTAATAAAGTCTCTATAGCACAGTATTACCTCTCTATACCAAACATCTATACTGTACTGTCTACCGAAATTAGCTATACAGTATACTGAATTGCTCCTCAGGTTCCAGTAGTATCTCTCTATTCCAAATGTATACAATAGTCCAGATGAATGTGTGTACACTATACATAATGCCAAACACAATGGGAAAACTATAAACAGCTAAAAAAATAATATATATGGTAGAACAAAAGGATATAAATAATAAAAACCTTCAAAATCCTTTCAAATTTCTTCTGTCCAGGTCCCCACTCATTCTTGGCGAGATGCAGGTTGCCCATCAGTGACCAGGCATCAGGATGTTCATTGTTCATTCGCAGTGCTTCCTTGTACCAATCAGAAGCATCGTAAATCTGGCCTCGGTCTCTTGCCATACATCCAAGGCGAAGATAACCTATAATATACAGTACACAATTAGAACAATCATTAAACATAATTCATATTCCTTTGGTGAAAGAAATAATGGTCAATAAAATGTATTGAATTAATTACTAAGTCCATAATTCCAAAACCTGTACAGTTGTGATAAATAAATACTGTGCTACAAGGTGTCAGGATAATGGTAAGAGCATTAATGTAATCCTTTTGTTAAGTGTGGAATAATTTACGGGGGTTTATAAAGACTTACACATACAATTACAACACAAGGCTGCAAGAGTGATACAAAACTGGAGAGAAATAATGACACGTATAATTAAGCGAAAAGACAAATGGAAGTAATGAATAAATTTACGTTATACAATAAAAAAGAACAAAACAACATTCAAAGGAAGGTAAAAAGTGTTCTTTTGTGTGATGGACGACTAAGGAAGAAATATTAAATAATATGGCTTATGCAGAGAACATGCTTTGCCTTTTGAAAAATGATAAACAATTATCTGAAGAATATCAAAGAGATTTCATTACAGCTACACACAAAATGAAGTGCTAACCCACATAGGAGTAACTATCATGTTGGAGAATTAGCTCGTAAGAAGACAAGAGTTTAGATCAAACTTACAGTCAACATAATTGGGATGATCCTGGAGGATTTCTTTATATAGTTTCTCTGCCTTATCATACTGACAGAACATCTCGTGCAGCCGAGCAGAGTTGTACTTGATGGTGACGGAGATGGAGGAGTAGTACTGGGGGTCCTGCTCCTTCTCAGCCTCACAACGGTCCCAGGCCTCCTTAAAGTGCTTGTGAGCCTCTTCATAATTGGCAAGTCTGTGTGACAATAAGACTGCTTATGGATTGGCCCATGCAGAAGATATTGTTAACATATTGGTGTGTAATAAATGGCAACATAAGATTGGGATATAACTGATTCCACATCATCATTCCACATCATTCTCTCAATAATCATAAGTTATCTCCAAGCTGTATCATTCCTATCCTTCATTCTCCTTTAAGCACCTGATAGCCCTCTGCCCTTCAGACCTCTCATTGATACTTAAATTCCATTCCTCCCTGGGTGTTTTCTCCTGTCAAACACATCTCTTACAAACTCTACAATTTATTGAACATCATCTAACTTTTAATAATAAAATTCAAGGGACTAACAAAATATACAAAAGGTGATGTTACTTGCCTAAAATGCAATGCTGCTATGTTGTTAAGAATCTCTGGAGGGATGTCCATCTGCACGAGGTCTTGTAAGAGTTTAGTAGCTTTGTGGTAGGCAGAGAGTGAACCCTGCAAGTCACTGCCCTCTAGGATCTGTGCTAGTTCAATCCAGGCTTCCACATCTTCACTATATTGTTCTGTCACCTGAAAAAGCCACAATAATTCACATCCAAGAGTAATAATAGATACAGTATACGCTGTACCGATTTACATCACTAACATATATGTCGCTAACAACTTCAGGAAATCTTCATTTTACGTCATTTGTTTCAAATATACGTTTTTGGCATCATCCATAAGTCTGTGTGATCCCAAATATGATGCATAAATAGTATTAAAGCATGTTACATAACAAAAATAACCATAACAACTAACAAAAGTGGCCTGCAAGTATTAAATATCTACCACACCAAAATACATCAGCTGATTTGCTTAAAGTTCTCTCTTCAGAAACACATCCTGAGCTTTCAAGGGATAATACAGTACATGTTGGAATGCATATACACCCTAATTACATTTATTCTTATGGGGAAAATTCCTCATCATAAAATGGACCATATCAACGAGACAAAAATACTCTCATGAATGTAAGCAAATATTAATGCACTTCTGGAGAGTTTGGATTAAGGTAACAATTCATAATGTGTTACTAACTCTTTTCTTTACCAAAGGTTTCAACTACTGTACTGTACTATAAACACTGGATACTTCAAAATATTTAAACTACAACTCTTGAGATTACAAACCTTCTTGAGATGTTGTTTAGCCAAGTCTCGTTTGCTCTGAGAGGTGGAGCTGGCATAGAGAGAGCCCAGAATCTTCATGGTCTCATAATTACCAGGTTGTGCCTTCAAAACCTTTTCAAAACACTGTGCCGCCTGAAGGAAAAAATAAATAAAAGAATAAGTATTTAAGATATCTGAAAAATGACAGTTATTCTTTCCTGACAGGAGCACAAAACCATAATGTACTGTACACTGATATATCCTTGATGCCACCAAGACCTTATAGCTATTGATAATAATTGGTAGGAAGTAGCGAGAATGAAGAGTTATCTTAGTGATGGACCAACATGTAGCAGTGTTGACGGTAAACACCACAGGTAATAAATCCTTCCCCTTGTGTCTTGTGCATGTAACACTACAACCCACTGTTGTGTTGGGAATCAGCAAGACTACCATGTACTGTAGTGAAAAAGTAAAACTAATCTATTAAAATAATTCACTGTAATGAGTGAATTATCTGGAGATTATACATATGCCTCACAGTCACAGCTCAAAGTGATGAAAACAACCAACAATGATAAATTAATTTACTTAACTTAATCCCAAACTTCAATTCAGTAAATATACATTATACTCTTACATTTTCTGTGTCGCCTCTGTTGATGTACATCTGGCCGAGACCATAGTGCGGGAGGACAAAGTTGGGAGCAGCATACTGGGTGGCCTGGTAGTAGTACTGGAATGCCTGCGAGTAATCTTCTTGCACGTGGAAGGCCCGTGCCATTTGGTAACAGGACTCAGCACGCATCGATTCATTTTCAGTGTTGTGAAATGCGTGTAAACCAAGATGTTGTACTTTTTGGAAGTCCTAAAACATGAACATCTTTATTAGACACATTGTACAACAATCTTTCTCATACAAATATAATTCATTACATTATAAGATATTACCTCATAATATAAGTTACTTGTTCCCAAATTGTTTTTTTAGTAGAAAAGTATGATATTATGGTATAAAGAAAAAAGAATCAATTCTTCGTACCTGTTTGAAAAAGAAGTGGTTACCCAAATGATTTAACACCATTGGATTGGTAGAATCAATGTTATACGCCTTCGAGAGCATCTGAACTCCCCTACGAATATTTTCCGGTTTCTTCTCATTGAGTTCCAACACCGCCAAACCAACAAGAGCCCCGACACACATTCCATCCAACTCCAATGCTCGTTCAAATGCTAAGCGAGCCTTGTCCTGGTTCCCAAGTTTCATGAAGCAGTGGCCCATTCCTAAGCGAACAGCAGCTGGACAATTCGGATTAGTTCTCAAGGCTTTCTTGTAAAATGCTAATGCACCTCGATAGTCCTGTTGGTCAGAAAACCAAAGCATTTTGTGAACATAGAGTTTAGAAAAAAAAGTTACAAAAAACAAACAAGGTTTGTGATCCCTTCTAAAGTTTTCCGTCACTACAGGAATATTATAAGGAAACCACACTGTAAAAGAAAACCAAAAGCCTAAATGAAGATCAAATATTCAACAAGACAAGTACAATTTGGCCTTAAATTTTCTCCTTCCATGACAAAATGAAACTTGAAGAGAAACTTATAACAAAGAGGACAAGTTAAACTTGCTATATACTTCTGGTCTTATTACCTAACTTTTGTAGTCATGTTCCTGCCTATCAAATTGTACAGTATTGTTGTTAAGTAGCTAAAGAGAAACTCAATTTAATAATGATTACCTTCTTATTAAAAGCAATACAGGCTTTCCCCAGCAGAGATGGAATATTGTTAGCAGACTGGTTGAGCACAAAGTTAAACTGTGCATCGGCCTGTTCCATTTTGTCTCCCTCCAGCAGGCAGAAGTAAGCTCGACCCAGAAGATGGTTCTGTTAATGTGTTGAATATAATTAAAAAAAAGTACATAAATGTTCTTATGGAACTTTCCATAAGGATCCATGTTAACATAACTATCAACATGCACTGGCCGGGCAACCAGCTTTAATCAGTCAGCCAATACATTAATCGGTTCTAGGGCTTAAATTCCTTACTATTTTAGTAAATATCAAGAAGTTTATACTATTCAATAATTTTAAAAGTTTAATATTCAATTTTTTAGTCATTTTAACAATTATTGAACATAATTGAAGGTAAAGTGACTAGTTTAATGCTCGGCATCCAGCCTCTTAACACAGCAAACAGGCGTTAGTCTCTCTCTGTTTTCACTGGAGGTAACATCTTGCTTGAGACTCTCTTCAACTAATTTTTTTCTGTGTTTCCAAGCAAATTATTGGTCATGTTGAAATTTATTTTACATATTGACAATATATAATGCAGTGCAGTGTTGATTTAAAGAAAATAATCTTGAATTACACCAAGAGAGCTAAAATTTTATGGGTGAAATGGCGCCATGGTGACAGCCTATGAATGTAAACTTTTCTACCATTTTGTCTAACCAAAATAAACAATGACGAAGAACCACCTAATCACTCCACTTATGGTTTAAAGGACCATGTCATAACTATGCATAGAACTAAAAGAATGGGACAAAGTAACAAGATGACCTAAAGCAAACATTTAGTAACGTATTCTAAATTAGCTGTTATATAACCCACTTAACTAGTATGGTACAGTATGAATGTAAAGTATGTAATAAAAAATAAAGACGAGAACCATAATCACTCCACATGTTCACACTTGACAATGATAAGTTCATAAGAGTAAACAAATCCCTCTTACCTGGTCATACATGATGATTTTATCAGCTGTGGTGTAGAGATACGTGGCTTTTTGGAACAAGTCCTTCTTGGCTGTCTTATCCTTCTCTTTATTAGCTTTCTGGACATAGTAAGCTGCCAGTGTGTCAAAGGAACGCATCTGAAGTATAACACAGAAAGAGTTGATTTTAACCTGCCTGATAACAATTCTTAAATGTGCAAAATTATATTATTGAAATAAGTACTGTATTATATTCAAAGACAATTACATTACACTCCAGATATCTCTACTTTTGGGTGGTAAAAAATTATTATGCATATTTATATTTAATCCTCAAAGTATATACCAGATGATTCTTTTTTTTAGAGTCAATACATACCTGGTCCTTGTCTGAGTCACGATACACTGCGTTAGCATCGGTGCGGCTCGCTTCCAAGATCCGCACGAAGTCCTCCTCATTTTTTTGCTTATAATATTCAATCTGTTGACAGAAACACAGATCAAAACATGTGGATTTTTTGTCCCTTTCACTGTTATCATTCTTTACTTCAAAATAAAAAATTTTGTATTGCAACAAAATTATCTTTTGTGAGATATCTTAGAATAATGGCAGCATGTTTCCTCATCCAGTACCTCAATAATTAAAATATTCTGGGAGACATTTTAAAGGATTCAAGATACTGTAACTAATCACATTATTCCTACATCTAAAATTCTTTTTCTTTGATCTCCACAACTTAATGACATAATATACAGTATAGTTGATTTTCTTTAGAGATTGAATTCCTTGCATTAATAGAAAGTTTACTGTACAATACCTTCATTTAAATCAAATCATGAGATCCATTCAAAATACTATAACCCCCAAACAGCACGGAAAAACTTACGGCAAGTTCCACCCAATAATTGAGTGGCACCTTCTCATTGGTGAGGATCCCAAGTACTTCATCTCCTTCTGGGAGTTGAGTCAAATCCAATTCAATAACCTGAGGAGGAAAGAATTGTTATTTAGTTAGATTCTACCATACTATAGACTAAGTCAGCCTATAGGGGGCTGGAGGCTATCCGTCTTATGCGTAACCTCCTCCTGAGTGGGGGAAAACTCCCACCTATAAACAATATTAAACTTAACTGTATACATTTACACAAGTTACTTTTATTGTAGCAAATGAATCTTAGGTGGAGGACAATAGGGGCCCCCTGCTTACACTTACAATGCATATATTCACACTTATATTCAATTACACTTTATATTTAGTTACACTTATACAGGCAGTTCCCGAGTTATGTTCCTGGACCTTGTTCATAAGTCAGAATTGTGGTAATTCCATAAGTTAGGTTAAAACACAACCCTGCCCATACAAAACAACAATATTATAAATAAAGTGATGTTAAACAAAATAAAGTTATGTAAAAAATAAAACTTTAGATACAGATTCTTGTGATGAAGAGCTATAGCGGGATCCTGTTTGTAAGTATAAGTGTTTGTAAGTCGGCTGTTCATAACTCGGAGACTGCCGTAAAGTGGATCCCTGCTATATGTTATATCAATATACAGTACATCATTTCACAATATACATAGTGAACAATTTCAACTTGGGATGAGGATTTGTAAACTTTATTATGGCAATTTTCTCATGAACTGTAGTACTGTATATAATGAACCAACCTAATCTATTTAACCTAACCTACAATATGCCAGTAAGAGTTAGGTTAGGATGGGTTAGATTAGGTAAGGTTGGTACATCTGAAATCCAATAAATCATATAATGCAGCAGTAGTTGGTAACCCTCGACATGTAGTGAGTGAATAAGCACTGTAGTGCATCACTGTGGATGAGTGGGGTGCCAGTGAAGTCGGCCCTTGGTGACTTCGGCCCACATAGGATGTGGCCGAGGTCAACAATGATATTAACAGTCAGGATTGAAATATGAGGCTGTTTTTTCCAGTTATAAGGAAAGATAATCTATTTTTTATACAAATCCCTTAATATACCATTATTGCATTTTCTGTGCTGCCATCGTTACAGAAATCACACTTTACGTAGCGCTTCTTGTCGGTTTGGAGCTTCCGATTCACAAAATTCGAAGTTTATTCGTTTTAATATTGGGCCGACACATCATTTCTATCACCACAGTGCTAACAAGCGGAAGTCACCAGCAATGGCTCTGAGCAATACCTGTGTTGCTTGTGAAATGGGAGTGCGACACCGACAAGAAGTGATACAGTGCAACTTCTGTAATGCAAGGCAGCACAGAAAATGCAATACTACAGGAATATCAAGAGGATTCTATCAAAAAATGGTTAAAAGACAAGCGGATCTACCAAACTGGAAATGCTCAAGGTGTGAAGCTGAGGTGCACAACACAGCTCAGAACACTGCAACCCTAGATGAACCAGACCCCCTCAACAAATTTTCGCAGGTTGATCCGGAACCCAAAACAATGACTGCAGTGGACCAAGACACACACCAAGTCAGCTACAAGATTATTGAAGCAACTTCAATTCGTGGTGGAGATAAACTTTTCGATTCCAGCGGTAATTCATATACAGTCAAGAGGAAATGTGCCAAGTCCACAACATGGAGATGTTCTCAACGATCAAGACTGATTAACTGTGCAGCAACTGTTTGTGACCAGTTCATTCCTGGACCCCAAGACGACATTCATCAGGCAAGCTTGGGATCGGATGTTGCTGCGTCCACTGCATTGGAAGCAAAACTAACTGCAAATCAACAGCCATTCACTTAAGCTGCAGACATTGCCACTGGAATTTTGCAAGAATGTCTTCCCTCAGGACCCTGTAGTGCAATTAAGTCAGTTGAACATGTTGCTCACAATGCAAACTATTACTGCCGTAAGCACCGTCCAAAACATCCAAAGAATCTGGACTTTGTTAAGTGGAGTCACAACACTTAGGCGAAAATTTCTTTCGTGGTGACATTCGGGTTGATGACGCACGCCACTTAATTTTCGCGACAGATGACCAGCTTCAACCGCTCTCCAGTGCAAAGAAATGGTATGCTGATGCCACGTTCCACATAGTTAGAAAACCATTCTTTCAATTATTCAGTATCCATGTGTTAGTACACTATGAAGAAGCAACAAAACAGCTCCCAGTCATACAGTGTATTATGTCTCGTCGCCAGAAAAATGACTATGTTTCTGTGATTAAAGCCATCAGTGATATGCTTCCCAATGAACCAAATGTGGAGAGAATTGTGATGGACTTTGAGAAAGCTCTGTGGCGTGCTACAAGCTCTGTGCTTCCGACTGTTGAAATAAAAGGACGTGCATTCCATTTTACTCAAGCACTCTTCCGGAAAATACAAGTACTGTATTGTACTTGGATTGCAAACTTCCTACTCATCAGATGAGGGAACTCACAAGCTGCTTTGGAAGTTCGTGACGCTTTGTTTTATTCCGAACAACATATTGTGGGAATATTCAAGGGATTAATGGCATCTGTGACCTCAGGACCACTTCAGAGTACATCAAGAAAACACGGATTAACAGTTGTATCTGGCCACCTGGAGTGTATATAAGCTAGGTGGGAGAACTAACAATGACATTGAGGGGTGGCATAACCATCTGAAGACGAAAGAGAAGGCACAAATGTCCTTTTACATGATGATTCAGCTCCTACATGATGAAGCAACTTTCGTAACTACTCAGATTCGTCTCGTGTCTGAGGGAAAACTGAAGCCAATCCTGCAAACAACTACAAGTGAGGGTCTTCTCCGTATGGATAGATTATGAAAATGGTGGGCGAAGCGCCCTGCAACTTCTCTCTGCAATATCCAGACTGTTTGGCCATAAGAGTAAACTGTATATGTATATGATTTTAAATCCATGTGCTTAAAATAAAGTTATAATAAAAAAACACTCAAAAAGCGTGACAGTTAATACCATTGTTGACATCGGCCCAACCTATGTGAGGCCGAGATTACCGAAATGGGCCGAGATCACCACTGTAACTGGGCCAAGTTCACTGGGCCAAAGTCACCAAAGGCCGACTTCACTTGTATCGATGAGTGCTCCGGGTGAAAAGAATCACATAACGAGTATCACTCAACTGGCATATTCAGTAATACTTTATGAGTTATGTCCTTAACCAGAGACTCAAAGAAATTATTCTTTCGATGATAACTGCTTTATTACCTTGTGAAAAAGATGTGAAGAATGGGAAAGAATAAGTTTTTTGTAATATAATTTATACAATGTTTTCCTTTCAGAGCATGTGCATGGCCACATAGTAAAACTTACCAGCTACTAACATTTATACCCGAGCCGTATTATGAAACAACATCTACCCCTTCCGACGAAGAATCTTTTCGAAGGGATTGTTTTTTCAAGCGGTATTTTTAAATGCTCGAACCTCTTCCAATTTGTGCGGGATGAATTTTTTAGGTCTGTAATACTGTCCTCTTCGCTGATGCATTATGGGTCCTGTGTTTGTTTACCTTCGTTGGCGGTAAATTTAATATTATAGCAGCTCTCGTCATGGATGTTTTTTCCTCCAAAGTCTCCCGGGCAAGTCCCATATCACAGAGAGAGCGGGATTTCTTAGTTTTGCAAAACAAAAGTACGTGTGGGAAGCTTGTTACATTAAAGAAGCAAGCATGGTTACGAATTGCAACATGTTTAAATGCTGAGGGATATGGACCTCGGCGATCACTAATTTAATTCAGTTATATGGGAGGTAGAGACTCACAGCTCACAAATTACAAAATATAACCAAATATTATATATTTTGGTATTATCGTCTCATTGGTTTATTTTAAGTATAGGTTATGTTTGGTTAGGTTAGATTAAATATTTTTCCCAATGATTTTTGGTGTTTTGAATTTGTTTCAAATAATCCTGTAGGTGAATGGCCGAAACTATAATGTTACCATTTTTTAATCCTCAAAATTGTAATTACCGTAGTTTCATAAATTTTTATCGTTGATTACCTTATTTAGACCCCCTACCCTTTTCATTGATTTTCAACCTTGGTTCCAGCTAACACGGATATTTTGATTTCACTCAAGAAAAGTACAGGGCTTTGAAGTATGGGTAATTGTTTAAAAATTATGTATTATTAAAAATGGTACCTGTATTATCATTACGGTCACCCTTCGAAATTTCGGATTTTAAGTTTATGTTAGGTTTGATTTTTTTTTTGGTTAGGTTAGGTCTAAATTATGTTTTACCGATGTTTGTTTTTTGAACAACTTCAAAATACGTTGATGACTGAAATGATAAAATTGCCTTAAAATAGTAAACTTATATTTGTTGCATAAATAATACCAATAAGTACTGTACCATGTTTAATATACAATATAGTAAAATCCAAATAAATAATTTGTACCAAAACAGGCCTAGCATAAATTATCACATGCCGGGGCGAACTCACTATTACTGAGACAGGGAAGTCCTCTATATTAGCCAAAGTATTGTATCATATATGCTTCAGGCAGATTTTCATTAAATAATCAAACTCCATCTTCCAGTGAACTTGTTATATTATGCTCCTAATTCAGCCAAATGGAAGTTTACCTAAACGAAATAATGTAATTGGTGATGAAAAATTAGAGCCTACAGTATTTCACATATTATATCATGATCCACTGTGTCCAGCAGCTTGCCTTTGATAATAACAAAAACTTCGCATTTAAAAATACGGCTTTCGAGATGAAGAAGGTAAGATGTTGTTCAATATTAAGGCCGTAAAACGTTACTCTTACTTTTATCCTCTTCACCACTCGTTAGTCGCTCCTCTATTATACCTTAGTCACACCACAATTCTTACCTCATCGCTATCCCGAAGAGGGATCTCTATAGACCCCGACATGGTGCCTGTAAACCCTCTCCCTGTCAGCTCCCGTCACATGTAAACACGGTCCCGGACAGTGTTGCCAAATGTGGTTGGTGAAAAGATGCTAGATTGACCTAAAGAATCCGCTAGAAATTCGCTAAGCACAATATTATGTACGTATCCTAAACAATATGCAAATGTTAAGTAAATATACAAATGTTAAGTACTCACCACTTAGTTCAGCGAAAAAATTATGCCTTTCTCTTTTTCCTTTTCAATCTCTATGGACATGGGTACTGAAGAAGAGCTTGGACCAGCTTCTGGTGCTTTTGATGTCGATGAACTCTATGCTACTACCGAACCTATTTGCTTTACCACTTGTTTTGGCAGTTCATACGAATGTCAGTATCTTCCAACTCTTCGGAGTCTGCTTTTCACTGCAATAATCGCACAGACTGAACTTGTATTCAACCGATTTCTGAGCTTTAATTTAACAACATTTCGCTGGTCAAATAGTCTCTCGACTTCAGCATTAGAGTGAGGGAGGGAGAGTAATACGTTTAGAGCTAATGCACAGAGGTCACGAAGAGGATTTAATCCTGTAGCATCCTGGTAATCTTTTACCTCAATCCAAAATTTTACGTATTACTTTTACTTTTATCCTCTTCGCTACTGATCGGCTTGTTAGTCGCTTGGGCGATCGGTCACGTCTCTGATTATTTTCCTTTTCATTTTTATTCTTCACCAAAAGATCGGCTCGCTAGCCGCCCGAGCGATCGGTCACGTCTCTGTCACGCACTGTTGGCAAATACTGGGCATGCACCGGCTCCTGAATGTACCTGAACCTGCTCCAGTATTGGTCAAGTCTTCTCTTGAAAGAGCTCACACTCGGTGCCGTCACAACACTCTCTGGTAGAGAGTGTTGACATGGTCTCGTGCCACCTAATAATTGTTAAGTTTTGCCGCTGATTGTCAATTCGGTCAATTTTTTTGGATGGTACCCAAAAAGTTCAGCTATTTCACCTACTGTTTCCTTCACAGCTCTGAGACATTCCACTACTGAAAACAGGGACATTTTCCTCAAGAGTTTGAAGTTATCAGTAAGTCTGTGTTTTAACTCATTACAGAGACTGGTAACACAAGATATGCAGCCCTGGCGAAGATCACGCTCTGCCTTTTCTGATAGCTTTGAGTTGGTCCAAGTCTTTTTAAATTCGTATCCTAAATATTCCCTGGGGTCAATGTGAGAGCTTGGGCTGCTGATTACTCTGTATTCTATTTACTTTAAATTTCCGCATTTTTTCTAATTTCAGAGGGAAGGCAGAAAAGGTTTTAATTACTAATAATCATCAAGTATGCGAAATCCGCTAGAACTTCTGCCAAATCCAGTGAAATCCACCAGAAAATCCGCTATCCGCAAAAGGTCTAAGCTACTCTACAGTAAGCCATCCGCGTTTTGAAAGTTCAATCCGCTAGATTTAGCGAATTTTTTGCAAGGTTGGCATCACTGGTCCTGGCTCAATCCCAGCTCCGTGATTGGCTGGTTCTCTGTGGAGGAATGCTTTGAGGAGCATTTGTTATATATTGTTCCATAAACTTAATCATATGTATATATTAGCTGAATGTCCTTTTTGTGTGTTTATATGCTCATTTATTTATATAGTACTTATCGATACTAAAGCGAGCAGACAAGTGATGCTACTACGTAGATAACAGGTGCATAACAGAGAGGTGTAATGGGCTGGGGAGAGACGCCAAGCCTTAAGTGGCTCAAGGGGAAAGACGCCGAGCTTATTTATGGGATCTAAGAGGGCAGAAAACCTTTCCTAGACAGTTGGCTAATGATACGAACTATGGCTTAGGAAACAGTTAATGTCACATTAATACAAAACTCACTTGTGAGCAGGGCTCACTGCATAAACACTATACTAGTTAGGCCTTTATCCTCGTTCCCCAGGGATCGAGCTATTGTGGGGTATGGGATGTTTGGGTTCTCACTCAGGATGGGATGGAGAAAGGAAACTCACAATGTGCTCTCTGTATACATGTTGTATTGGATGTACAATGTAGCTTGGTGCTGGGAAGTGGCAGCGTGGTTACAAGCGTGATGTAGAGAGAGCTGGTTGGTGAGGGTGCTCAGAGGAGGACCAGCTTGTGGGTCGCCATGCTCGCCGGCGGGAGCGAGGGCCGCCAGGCAGCGGCGGAGGAGGTGGTGTAGCTTGCTGCGGCTGTAGCTAGGAGAGGGCACCACGAGGTCAGGTCTTAAATAGCGGGGGTAGGCGTGGCTTAGTAGTTGACCTCCGTGATGTATGGCGGCGCTGGTTGACCCAGACCACGAGGCATACACTGGGGAATTCGCGGGGTCGGCTACGCAGCGACAAACAGCATTTGTAAGGGAGAAATCCACTACACTATCACACGCGCCCTTAATAACAAGTAAAACAATGATAGCCCATTATCAATTACCTCATTCATACATTATGAAAAGACAACACAGAAAAATTTTCCATTTTCTTATCAGGAAAATAATTATGTACAAAGTAACACGGTAAAACCCCTGGATTTAATGTTTTTATTTTTTATGTGCAGTCAGCTTGGGCGGTCAGACACGTCACGTGCATGTACTGGCTCCAAGATATATCTGTACCTGCGCCAGTGTTGGTGTACTCCTCACGATCGTACAGGTCAGTTATTTTCAAGTCAGATCTGGGCGTACTGAATGAACAGAAAGGTCAGGTCATGTCTTGCTATCTTCCACCCCCCAACCCCCCCTTGGAAAAAATCCTGAGGACGTCCATACTTGCAAACAGTACGTAGCATGCCACAGTGCCTAACAGACATGACCGACCTCTCATCAAAATAAGATAAGAAAATATCCCCATAAAAACTTTCGTTTTCTTTTATCGCATCAAAGAAAATGGATGTAAACAGTTTCACGAATGAATTTAAATGGGGGACTTAAATGACTTTCAATGAGATTAAATGCGGGAATTAAATGACTTTGAATGAGTTTAAATGTGTTACCGTAGTATTTAAAGAGACCAATCGAGTATCACTTTAATTAAAAGGCTAACAATAATAAAAACAATGACGACAATGTTGGTCATTTGAGCGGGAAACGTCATAGAAGAGAAGTGTCTTAGAATATTCCGAACGATTGATTGCAAAGATAAAATTCTAGAGATTCGGATAATAATAATAATAATAATAATAATAATAATAATAATAATAATAATAATAATAATAATAATAATAATAATAACAATAATAATATTAATAATATGTAAGGTTATGTTAGATTAGATTATGTTTAGTTAGGTTAGATTAGATTAGGTTTGGTTAGGTAAGGTTAGATAAGGATAAACTAGGTTTAGTTACAATAAATTTAGATTTGGTTAGGTTAAGGTTAGATTAGACCAGGATAATTTAAAATTTAGTTAGGATACAGTGTTAGGTTTCCATCCTGTTGCACAAATGATGCGTCTATTCCATTATGTTATATTTAGGCAAAGGAAAACTTATCCTGCAGATGCACATCTTATTAGTTAGACAATATACATAATTTACGTATACGCAGTAATTATATTTGTAAAATAACAGTCCTAAATGGAGGTAGAATGATAGCTTATTTTAAATGACTAATTTTACACACACAGTACGTAATTAATTCATCAAGTTAACTGTAAAGCTTGTTTATGGAGTGCAACAAACGAGTGAATTTATTGTTAATTTCTATTTAAAATACCCCCCAAAAATATAATATCTTAAGTAATTCAGCTCATTAGTTTTATATTCCAAGTAATGTTTACTTCTTAGTAACATATGAACATGGCGGTGATATAGGTGATGTATGCAGGTCCAGCTGTCACACTATATAATTTATGAACCATGAGGCCCATCTTCCAGATCAGAGAGAATATATTTATTGCATGGGAATGTAAATTAGAGAGAGAACTTTTACGTCGAAGTAAACTGAGAACATGGATACTATGCAGATAACTTCATGGATACTATATACAGTAATATATATATATATATATATATATATATATATATATATATATATATATATATATATATATATATATATATATATATATATATATATATATATTTTTTTTTTTTTTACGGAATTAGCCCACCCGGGAACAGGTCGAACGACCCACAACGGGGCCTGGGGCGATGACTTGAGCATCTCAACCAATCTTTACCTATGTTAGTGTATTAAGTTCTAATTATTTTCTCAGATATCTGAAGGTTAGTTATCTTCAGTGTATCTTCAATTTAATTAAACAATTAATTCTCTTTGTCTGCCTTTGCCATTTATTATTATTATTATTATTATTATTATTATTATTATTATTATTATTATTATTATTATTATTATTATTAGTAGTAGTAGTAGTAGAAATATTAGTTTTGGGGTAATGTTTCGTGCAAAAGTTTACATTTTCAGTCTCAAACCATTATGTTCCAGAAACCTATGCGAGAAATAGGCGCCCTAAGAAATCCACTTGTCTTTTGCTCTTTTAAATGTTCCGTGTATTGAAAAACTTAATTCGCAGGTTCCTCACAGATGTCTATTCCGTTTACCTCGTGTGTGTGGAGTAAAGATTTATTACGAAAGCCAAATTTACATGAATTATGGAAATGTTAATGTTTATGTATTTACATTATGTCAATGACTTTTATTTTGCTAAACTACAGGTGAAATATTTACGTGTGCATATATAACAAATATGTATTTTTCCTGCTTTGAAAATTAGTGTTCCGACACACATAAAGAAGACCTAGATATATATGGACGTATTTACATATTTGTCATAATCTGTCATGGCCACAGGAACAGTGGGACTTATATAGTACTTGCAACTGTTCCCGTGTTTCCCGCCTGCCTACAGGAACAGCCTCAGGGCGGGATACTCAAAGATATTCAAGGTTGCTAATATTTGCCACGAACATCTCACATCTGGGAGCCAAGGTCAGGTACGGATGTGAATGCCGTTGGTCTACAAACCACAGAAACAGGACACAGAATTCTTCAACACTTCCGCCACTATACTTGAGCACAGGAATAATGCTGCCATTTTTTATTTAATATTTTATATACTAAAATAAAAGCAACTATTATAAATAAATCTATCTATCTATCTATCTATCTATCATATCTATCTATCTATCCATCCATCCATCCATCCATCCATCCATATATATATATATATATATATATATATATATATATATATATATATATATATATATATATATATATATATATATATATATATATATATATAGCCCACCGAACACAGGTCACTGACCACATCGGGGCCTGGAGGGGGGGCGAATAATAATAATAATAATAATAATAATAATAATAATAATAATAATAATAATAATAATAATAATAATAATAATAATAATAATAATAATAATAATAATAATAATAATAATAATAATAATAATAATAATAATAATAATAATAATAAAAATAATAATAATAATAATAATAATAATAATAATAATAATAATAACAATAATAACAATAATAAAAAAAAAAAAATAATAATAATAATAATTATAATGATACAGTAATTCATAGTAAATAAAATTTGTAATAAAAAGTAAAATAAAATAATAATAACAATAACAATAACAACCAATAACAACACTGTAATAATGATAATAAAAAAATCAATAGTGTAAGTACATTATGTTGTGTTGTCATGTAAGAGAAACAATTGAGACCCTGCAATTGTGTGTAAATGAGGCAGAAAGTCAGATGAGCAACCTGGGACTTGGTCACAATATTCGTGATGCCATATGGCAGCAGGGTCTACCATTAGACAACACATTATGCTTCCAATATCTTCCCAGGAAGTAGTACCTCCCTGTTGGAAGCTGCTACACAAAATCTCTCTCTCTCTCTACTTCATTTTTAGTCCATATAACACACGGACTTTGAACATATAATCAACGACCTCACCAGCCAGGAATCGAACCCTCGACCTACTGGGTGGGACTAGGGAACGCTACCGACCAACCCACAAGGACACTGTGTCCTTGTGGGTTGGTCGGTAGCGTTCCCTAGTCCCACCCAGTAGGTCGAGGGTTCGATTCCTGGCTGGTGAGGTCGTTGATTATATATATATATATATATATATATATATATATATATATATATATATATATATATATATATATATATATATATATATATATATATATATATATATTTATATATATATAGTAGTTGCTTTTCATTCAGACCACAAAACATGACGCCTTTCTATACTCATGAGATGTGGCAATACTATAGTGTTGGTTAAATTACTTATTGTGTAACTTCAGTTTGGATATCTCTAACACGTTTTACAAGAGGAAGAGACAACTAGTATTTGTACTGATAATGTTATGAAAAGTTGTCTGTTGTAACACTCCAGAGCTCTGTCTATTGACCTAAGAGTTTGAAGCGCTTAATTCTACAGTAAAACTACAATGTTTTATGATATTCACTTATTCCATTATCTTTGACTTCTAATTGTAATTTATCCCTGTTAATGCAGTCATATATGTGTTGAGGGTTAGGGTGACTGTGGCAGGTGTTAAGTAACCAGTGTGGAGTTGTCGGTCCAGGGTCGAGGGTACATGACCTGGCGGTGTCATGAATCACCTGCTGCCCCCTCACCCTCCGTCAGCACACCGACACACGGGATCCACGTCAGCATTAATATTTTATCCCCAATAGACATTTCACCGCGCGAGTCTGTAAGGTAGAGGAAGAAGACGTGAGCATACTTAGACTCGTCGCGAGGTAAGCAGGACGTCTCTCCACCCCAGGCCCGCCATGCCGCCTCACCAGCTGTGTTTACTTATGGTGGCGCTCACCACACTGGTGGTCATCATTCATGCTAGCGAGGAACAAATCTTGAGAAAACACGTAAGTAAAATCCCTGTTCTTTAACTTATATATAACCTAATATTGTCCCCAGGAATTATGAATGTGTCGCAACCGTTCGTCTGTTTGTTTGTGTCTCTCCGTGTTAATATGTTGGAGTATGAGAGATCCTGACCCCAACAATTCCTCTATTAAGGTTTACTAGAGTCTTCAGCGAGGACGACTAACTCCCGCACTGTTATAAATACTTTTAGTTGAGGCACTGTTCTATAAACCTCTTAGTCACTCACGCAGACAAAACCTGACAAACTTATCTGTGACTCGTGGTGTACAGCGTCCACGTGAGGGTGATCGGTGCGCGCGTGGATCAGGAGAGTGCAAGCGGTCGTGCACGGAGCCTATAAGGGGCGTCCGGGAGTGTGGCCGTGACCTGATCTGCTGCAGGGAGGACAACACAGGTAAGCTCTTCTGCGGGACTCTAACATGGGGAGAGGCGGGCGTATCAGTCACAGAGTAAACAGTTATTATAAATGAATTAACACGATAGAGTGAGAGTTGGTTAACAAGGATTAAATATCAGTCACCTTACTCCTCACTAAACTGTAAGTGTTTCTTCGCCTCGTCTCGACAGATTGTGAAATATCGAAGAAATGTTTGAAATACGACGGTGAGTGTAAGGCAAAGTGTCAGGGGGACGAGCGACACATCGATGACATGTGTAAGGATGATGACTGTAAGTGCTGCGCCGCCCCATGCAAGCTGACCGAGCAGTGTCGTGCTGCCCGGGGCCGCTGTGTCAGTGACAAGGACGAGTGTGATGGCGGCACGGTGTTCAAGGGAGGGTGTGAAGGCCGCCACTGTTACTGCTGCGTGACTAAGCCTCCTAACAGTAAGTTTATGATTCTGGTTAATTATTATCTGCACATTACATACCTGGGAACAAACACATGTTACACATTAGATACCTGGGAACAAACTCATGTGGCACATTAGATACCCGGGAACAAACTCATGTGGCACATTAGATACCCGGGAACAAACTCATGTGGCACATTAGATACCCGGGAACAAACTCATGTGGCACATTAGATACCTGGGAACAAACTCATGTGGCACATTAGATACCTGAGAACAAACTCATGTGACACATAAGATACCTGGGAACAAACTCATGTGGCACATTAGATACCTGAGAACAAACTCATGTGACACATAAGATACCCGGGAACAAACTCATGTGGCACATTAGATACCTGGGAACAAACTCATGTGGCACATTAGATACCTGAGAACAAACTCATGTGGCACATTAGATACCTGGGAACAAACTCATGTGACACATTAGATACCTGAGAACAAACTCATGTGGCACATTAGATACCTGAGAACAAACTCATGTGGCACATTAGATACCTGGGAACAAACTCATGTTACACATTAGATACCTGGGAACAAACTCATGTGGCACATTAGATACCTGGGAACACACTCATGTGACACATTAGATACCTGGGAACAAACTCATGTTACACATTAGATAAAAAACACAAAAGTTTTTAAAAATTTCCATTTAATTTAGACTGTTTTAGGCGGATACATATATGTATTACCTGGAGACTGTCAGTTTGGTCAACATTATGTATCTTCATAAATGATAAATATTCCTCTAGTGAATCCTTATGAATTCATCTCCTTATATCTTAGGTCCTGGGTCAGCCTCATTGTCCTTCCTCATAATGTCTTACAAATATTCGAGTTTTCCTTATTGGAATTACATGTCTCTCCTAAGTTCGGTATTTATTTATTTTTCACGTATCGTAAGATAATTGGGCGGTGTTTATTATATTATATGTATTATTTTTAATCCCTTTGATATGATTATTTAATTCCTTGATTGCAATGTCACTTTACTCAAGGGAATAAGTCATCGTACTCAATGTGGTGATTCATTGTACTCAGAGGATAGCCATGCCACTGATGAGATAACTCGTTCTGTTTGTGCTCTCGGGATTATCCGTAAAGGAGAGTTAAATTTAGTTATTATAAATGAATTAACACAAGGAATAAATAACAGTCACCTTACTCCTCACTAAACTGTATTGATCCTCATCATGTTAGTGGAAATATCAGCAGTTCCAAAAGTTATTTATGTTTAAAATTGTGAACGAGTAAAACTAACTTATGAGCAACATGTGACACTACGAGCAGCGGAAATAACTGACCTAAAATATATAAGTGTTTCTTCGCCTCGTCTCGACAGATTGTGAAATATCGAAGAAATGTTTGAAATACGACGGTGAGTGTAAGGCAAAGTGTCAGGGGGACGAGCGACACATCGATGACATGTGTAAGGATGATGACTGTAAGTGCTGCGCCGCCCCATGCAAGCTGACTGAGCAGTGTCGTGGTGCCCGGGGCCGCTGTGTCAGTGACAAGGGCGAGTGTGATGGCGGCACGGTGTTCAAGGGAGGGTGTGAAGGCCGCCACTGTTACTGCTGCGTGACTAAGCCTCCTAACAGTAAGTTTATGATTCTGGTTAATTATTATCTGCACATTACATACCTGGGAACAAACTCATGTGGCACATTAGATACCTGGGAACAAACTCATGTGGCACATTAGATATCTAGGAACAAACTCATGTTACACATTAGATGCCTGGGAACAAACTCATGTGGCACATTAGATACCTGGGAACAAACTCATGTTACACATTAGATACCTGGGAACAAACTCATGTGGCACATTAGATATCTGGGAACAAACTCATGTGGCACATTAGATGCCTGGGAACAAACTCATGTGGCACATTAGATATCTGGGAACAAACTCATGTGGCACATTAGATACTCTGGGAAACAAACTCATGTTACACATTAGATACCTGGGAACAATCTCATAAAAGTACATTAGATGCCTGGGAAATGAACTCATGTGGCACATTAGATATCTGGGAACAAAACCTATGGCGGTACCTGGGAACAAAATCATGTGGCAGAATAGATATCTGGGAACAAACTCATGTGGCACATTAGATGCCTGGGAACAAACTCATGTTGCACATCAGACACCTGGGAACAAACTCATGTGGCACATTAGATACCTGGGAACAAACTCATGTTACACATCATATACCTGGGAACAAACTCATGTTACACATCAGATACCTGGGAACAAACTCATGTGGCACATCAGATACCTGGGAACAAACTCATGTGATACATCAGATATCTGGGAACAAACTCATGTGACAGATGAGATACCTAGGAACAAACTCATGTTACACATCAGATACCTGGGAACAAACTCATGTGGCACATAAGATACCTGGGAACAAACTCATGTGGCACATAAGATACCTGGGAACAAGCTCATGTTACACATCAGATACCTGGGAACAAACTCATGTTACACATCAGATACCTGGGAACAAACTCATGTGATACATCAGATACCTGGGAACAAACTCATGTGGCACATTAGATAAAAATAACAAAAAGTTTTTAAAAATTTCCATTTAATTTAGACTGTTTTAGGCGGATACATATATGTATTACCTGGAGACTGTCAGTTTGGTCAACATTATGTATCTTCATAAATGATAAATATTCCTCTAGTGAATCCTTATGAATTCATCTCCTTATATCTTAGGTCCTGGGTCAGCCTCATTGTCCTTCCTCATAATGTCTTACAAATATTCGAGTTTTCCTTATTGGAATTACATGTCTCTCCTAAGTTCGGTATTTATTTATTTTTCACGTATCGTAAGATAATTGGGCGGTGTTTATTATATTATATGTATTATATGTAATCCCTTTGATATGATTATTTAATTCCTTGATTGCAATGTCACTTTACTCAAGGGAATAAGTCATCGTACTCAATGTGGTGATTCATTGTACTCAGAGGATAGCCATGCCACTGATGAGATAACTCGTTCTGTTTGTGCTCTCGGGATTATCCGTAAAGGAGAGTTAAATTTAGTTATTATAAATGAATTAACACAAGGAATAAATATCAGTCACCTTACTCCTCACTAAACTGTATTGATCCTCATCATGTTAGTGGAAATATCAGCAGTTCCAAAAGTTATTTATGTTTAAAATTGTGAACGAGTAAAACTAACTTATGAGCAAGATGTGACACTACGAGTAGCGGAAATAACTGACCTAAATATATAGGTGTTTCTTCGCCTCGTCTCGACAGATTGTGAAATATCGAAGAAATGTTTGAAATACGACGGTGAGTGTAAGGCAAAGTGTCAGGGGGACGAGCGACACATCGATGACATGTGTAAGGATGATGACTGTAAGTGCTGCGCCGCCCCATGCAAGCTGACTGAGCAGTGTCGTGCTGCCCGGGGCCGCTGTGTCAGTGACAAGGACGAGTGTGATGGCGGCACGGTGTTCAAGGGAGGGTGTGAAGGCCGCCACTGTTACTGTTGCGTGACCAAGAGTAAGTGGATTTTTAATTAGTTATTTATTTAATAAGGACCTTCACGGTTGATAATCTAACAGCAACCTGTTGTTCAAACTCTGACCAACGTACACTAAACATCTTGACCTCGCTAGGCTGCAGGTATGACGGGATGCTGTACCTTAATGGCCAAGACAGATACCACAAGTGTGAGGCAATCACCTGTGTCGACGGTCGATGGAAGCCAACAGATGTCTACAGCAATCCTAAATGTGAGTCTTACGCTTAATTATAGACATGTACAGGGGACAAACAGGTAGACGAGTACAGTACCTGCCTGGATGGTGGGGGAGGGGGGAGGGGTAAGGGGTGGGGGTTCGGGAGGATTAATGGAGGGAGGTTAGGGTGGGAGTTGGGTAAGGAAGGAGGTTGGGGATGGGTTGGTTGGTTTTGTTCTGTGTCCTTGAAAACGAAACACATATTAAAAGGAACACCCATACCCACACCCACACATACAACCACACCCACACCCACACCCACACATACACCCACACCCACACCCACACATACACCCACACCCACACCCACAAAACTCACTAGATAAAGACTGTGTGAGTGTTTTCCTTCACTACACTAACGGCATCTCCCTTACTCCAAGTTGCACTTTCCTGAGTCAAGATTTCAAGCATCAAGACACGCGCCTCCAAGACTGTGAGTTAAAAGAATGTAACAATGGTCGCTGGGTTAATATAGGTGTCTTCATTGATTCAACGTTTACGTATTTCACAACTCAAATTCAACCGATTAGACATAAACAATAGAATAAACATAATGATATTCACAGGGCAGCAACAATAACACTCTCTGATGTGTCTATATAGAATTTACTTATGAGTTTAACCATTTGTATCTCAATTGTTTATACTCTATAGAGATGCCTTAACCTGGCTATAAATATCTCAAAATTTCGCTACTTTTTGGGCGTAAAATAAGCCAAACATATTAATCATCTATGACTTCTTATCATTCACGTTAAATAGAAACAAACGTAAACTTTAAGAATATTTGAAAGTATGTTTAAATATCGACTAGCCTTTTGTTGCAAGAGAAGTTTACAAAGGCTGAAAAGAGGAGAAAAGTGCTATTATTTTTTTATATTCTATTTCCAGGTTGTGAGTTTGAGGGGAAGTTCTACAGCCATGGGCATCCTATTGTCGACGGGTGTGATTTACTTGAGTGCGTTAGAGGACGATGGATTAACAGAGGCAAAGCTGGTGGACCTGAGTGTAAGTGCATAACAACTACGATAACTACAACAACAACAATGATAATAATAATAATAATAATAATAATAATAATAATAATAATAATAATAATAATAATAATAATAATAATAATAATAATAATAATAATCACACACACACACACAGGTATACTGACTCTTAGTACCTACTCGACTTGTACTGTTGTTAGAGGTTTAGTTTAATATTTTTATCTTACAGGTCGGCTGACAACAACAACAACGTCATCAACAACAACAATAACAACCACAACAATGCCATCAACTACAACAACAACAACAACTACTACTACTACTACTACTACTACTACTACTACTACAGCAACAACAACAACTACTACTACTACAACAACAACAAAAATTACTACTACAACAACAACAACAACACTTACTACTACTACTACTACTACTACTACTACTACAACAACAACAACAACAACAACAACTACTACTACTACTACTACTACTACTACTACTACTACAACAACAACATCAACAACAACTACTACTATTACTACTACTACTACTACTACTACTAACAACAACAACAACATCAACAACAACAATTACTACTACTACTACTACTACTACAACAACAACAACATCAACAACAACAATTACTACTACTACTACTACTACTACTACTACTACTACTAATACAGCAGCAACAACAACAACAACAATTACTACTGCTACTACTACTCCTACTACTACTACTACTAATACAGCAACAACAACAACAACAACAATTACTACTGCTACTACTACTCCTACTACTACTACTACTAATACAGCAACAACAGCAACAACAACAACAACAACAACAACAACAACAACAACAACAACAATTACTACTACTACTACTACAACAACAACCACACCACCACCAACAACAACAGCAACAGCAACAACAACAACACCATCAACAACTACAACCACTACGACAACAACCACACCACCACCACCAACAACAACAAAAACAACTACTACTACTACCACCACAACAACAACTACTACTACTACTACAACAACAACCACACCACCACCACCACCAACAACAACAACAGCAACAGCAACAACAACTACAACAACAACTACAACAACAACAACAACAACTACAACCACAACAACAACAACTACTACAACCAAATCCAATTCATCATGTTCATCGTGTTCGTCATCGTTCTCCTCGCCATCCTATTCCTCGCCATCGTTCTCCTCGTCTATCTTAACGCTCTGTGAGTCGCCTTCGTCTTCAAACATATGAACACCACCATATTTGCCTGTTTCACCAAAAAACAACAACAACAACAATCCCAGCCCCACTACCCTCACTACCACCACTTACAACAACAATTATAAATATAGCAACGACAACAACAACAACAACGACAATAGCAGCAAAACCTCAACAAGTACTACCACCATCACCATCACCATCACCAAAGAACAGTGAGATCGTCGTTGTCATGGATAGACTGTCATCACAACACTGAAGAAGAGTGTGGTCAGCCCTCACACCACTAGGCTGCTGCCACACTCACGGAAACATTAAAGGCAACAATGTTTTAGAGAATTTGGGCAAAAGCTGTCAGCATTGATGGTAACGACGTTATACACACAATACATCAAAGTGTGGAGTTAAAGGTGGCAATATTGTTGGAAAGAAAAGTTACCAAACATATTACCTACCAATGTTACCATCATATGCGCTAAACAATTCTGTATTGGTCGAAATGTTCACGAGGTGGTTACCAACAATGTTTCCGTTACTGTGGTTGAGCTGACGACCCATTCTTGGGCTAAAACATGAACTAGATTTTCCTTATCATTTATTACACACACACACACACACACACACACACACACACACACACACGTATTTATTGTTGACGAAGTGTGCCTGACATGACCACAGATCTACTTGGTGTTGTGGGTAACCCTAAACGCCGACAAACAGCTGTGTACTGTATACACTCCTGGAGGTGACGAATCAAGAGCCTACAATTTTACCAATTACTCGAGAGAAAAAATCACCACCGTCTCTCTCACTTACAAGGAAAAGTTCTCTAAAATGACACTTCATTGATTGTTACCCTTGTAATCTCTCTAAACGTAAAAATATAGACCTAGGTTACAGAGGAAGTGGTAAAAGACAAGTTGTATGGGCCCTCAGAGGACGTCCTACTCAGGGATGAAACACCAGACTCCTCGAGCAAAACATGTCAAAGAAGGATGCTTCACTCTTATTTACTGGAAAGGTCCCGGTGGAATAGTCTCTCATCTCATCTTTCTGGAGTTGGCAGCAGACTGTCTGAAGTGAGGGAATAGTTATGCTTACAGTCACACATCTTGCATGCTTTGTTCTGTCAGCAGAAGAAAAAAAATGTTTGTTACGCTCTTGTATATAGTTTTACCATCCCTCTTTTTCCCGGAATACTGAAACGGGGAGACGTCATCTCTCTGTTGGTGTGTCTGTGTGTAAGCGTCTGTCTTATTTAATGCTTGCTAGTCATCTCTATTAAACTGAATGACTATAATATATTGAGACGCCAGCAGGCATGAGTGACAACTGAACACCTCTTAGACGACCGAAGCTTTTACTGCCCTCACGCACGTCGAGTCCTTGCTTGTGTTAACTTTATCTTCTCCATCCCTACCGATTATTTATACCCTGCCCATTATATATCCTCTGCCCATGATGTATCCCTGTAAACACTACTAGCACGCTGTTATCTCTATTGTCACGTTGTAAACACTATTGCCACGCTGTAAACACTATTGCTACCATTATTGCCACCTTGTAAACACTATTGCTTCGCTGTAGACACTATTGCTACCCTGTAAACATTATTGCTACGCTGTAAACACTATTGCTACCACTATTGCCATGTTGTAAACACTACTGAAACGCTGTAAAAACTATTGCTACCACTACTGCCACATTGTAAACACTACTGCCACGTTGTAAACACTATTACTTCGTTGAAAACACTATTGCCATGCTGTAAACATCAATGTCACCCTGCAAAACCCATTCCCACCTTGTAAACACGAATGCATAGATACACAAATTTACGTATGAAAACCCAGAAGAGAGTTAATTAATATATTACCATTTAGGATACGATTCATTATAAGAAAGAATTATGCAAGCCTATATTAGTATTCCCTTTCTCTCATCATCCTAGTGGGAACAAATTGACAACTTGTGTTACGAGGTCAGACTTTGGCATCATTTGGTCAGTAGTAGAGATCTGACCTATACACTCTTATGCTCCACTGACCTGTGTGATTTATTACAGATTATTCGAACAGGACGACGACGGCGGCAACAGCAACAACAACAACAACAACAACTACAACTAAAACAACAACAACAACACCAACAACAACAACAACAACAACTAAAACGACAACAACAACAACAACAACAACAACTAAAACAACAACAACAACAACAACAACAACAACAACAACAACAAAACAACAACAACAACTCCAACAACAACAACATCAACAACTAAAACAACAACAACAACAACATCAACAACTAAAAACAACAACAACAAACAAATATCAACAACTAAAAACAACAACAACAACAACAACATCAACAACTAAAAACAACAACAACAACAACAACCAAAACAACAACAACAACAACAACAACAACAACTAAAAACAACAACAACAACAACATCAACAACTAAAAACAACAAATAAATAACAACAACAACAACTAAAACAACAACAACA